CTTCCTTCCTTCCTTCCTTCCTTCCTTCCTTCCTTCCTTCCTTCCTTCCTTTCTTTGAGAAAGCATCTTTCTATGTAGTTCAGATTGGCCTTGAACTCACTATGTACCCCAGGCTGACTTCAAACTCAAAATGATCCTCCTGCCTCAGCCTCCCAAGTAGTGGGATTACAGGTGCGAGCCACCACTCCTGGCACAAAATAGAACTTTAAAAGTTAAATTTTGGGGGCTGGGGATTTAGCTCAGTGGCAAAGCGCCTGCCTGGCAAGCGCAAGGTCGTGAGTTCGGTTCCTAGTGCCGGAGAAAAACCAAAAAAAAAAAAAAAAAGTTAAATTTTTTTCCTTGTAGGGGCAAGCAATTTCTCCAAACATCATCCCCACCTGAGCACATAACCAACACTTCCTCCCCTCTGCCTAAAAAAAGTGACAGGACACGCAGATAAACTAGCTTTGAACAAAATTTTTTTTTTTTCAATTTTTACCAAAATATATGGTCTCCCTTGATTTGGTCAGTGGCAAGCCAACAAACCTAAGCACATGAACCTCAGTGGCTGGTATCAATAGCTGTGGGCATCAAGGAGCTCCGAGATCAGCAGGCAAGGCAGATCAGCACCTGGTGGGGTCGACCTCTGGTGTCCAGCACAAGCCAGCATCAGATGGTGATGACTGGCACCAGCAGCGACCTGCTGCTGACGGGGTCAATTGTTGACACGCAGCATTCTCTGGTGACATCAAGGCTGCTAGCAGAGCTGCACTTTACTGACTCATGATTTCTACCTGAATCAAGTGAAAGAACCCCAGGCTGACTGGCAAGAAAGATACTCAGACAAGGTGATAGAGTTCCTAAGAACAGCCGCAGGTAGATCCAGTTCATAAGAACAGGCCCAGCTAGTTGGACTCTTCCTAGGAACTGGAGGAATTGCAGGTAAGCCCTGCCTTGTTTCCTGGAAATGTTCTGCTCTGTCATGGACAAAGAACTTCCTGTTCTAGCAAAGGCTGAAATACTTCCTTCAGTCATTGGACAAGGGTTTCAATGATGAACAGAGGCCCAGCACCAACTTGAGGGTTTCAGGTGAGGTAAGGAAGTGGCAGTGAGGGATGGGGCATGTGGGCACCCACAACCCTCTTCCCCAGGGCCCACTAAGCCAGGAAGCTGCAGCTCTCAGATTGAAGCTCTTCTTCAGTCTCCACTCTTACGAGCAGGACAACACATACCTTAAGTATTTACAGTGCACTGACAATGTTTCATCTGGTACAGCAAAATGATTCAAAGCTCAGACTTTGGTGTTTAGACCTTTGGGGTTTATTCTTGGCCTCACCTCCAACTTACTGTGTGATTCTGGCCAAGCTACTTAACCTCTCTGTGCCTCCTTGAGAATTGTAGATAATAATGGTACCCACCTGATAGCACGTATGTATGTGATAAGACACGCAATGCACTTGCATTGTGTAGTCCAATAATGTCAGCAGTTACTGTGACTTTTATATTATTGCGAGGACGCTGTTGCTAAGGGAGGAGGTCAACTCCAGTGCCCAGGTTTGAGTAAGTGAGTCTGTTCTTCTCATTCCTGCTAGGGCTTTCTAGAACTCAGCCCCGTCTTTCATTTTTCCTTTCTCTCTGTTCTAGTCTCTACATCTTTAGGATCTTAGGTACTTAACCATGGATGCTTTTACCTATTCCCCCAGTGGCCTGTGAGCTGTTGGAAACTTTTTCTTTTTTTAGTACTAGGGGTTGAATCCAGGGCCTTCACTCTGAGCTATAATCCCAGCATTTCTTTCTTTCTTTCTTTCTACTTTCAAGACAAAGTCTTGCTAAGTCACTACCTTGCCCAGGCTGGGCTCGAACTTGCCATTTTCCTGCCTCAGCCTTTCAGAGTGAAGCCTGCATGGCTACACCTAGCTGGAACCTCTGTCTCACAGGGAAAAACCTGAGACTCACAGACGAGGTGACTTGTAAGAAGTGAGGCCAGAATTCCAGCCAGGTGTGGTTGCCTCCCAGGCCGCTTAGCGGGACAGGTCTGGTGGGGATGGAATTTGTCCCCCAAGCCCCCAATTCCTCTCCATTCTTAGTACTGAAGAACAAACCGCACCTGATTGCTCTGCTCTGGATAACACTCTCTCCCGACTCTGGGCTGCCTTCTCTACCCCACCACTGAGGCTGGGCCTTGCTGGCTGTCACACTAAACAGGCCCCAAGAAATCCATTTCCCCAAGGGGTCAATGGTGGCAAAATCCTAATCCAGGGGCACCTGATATCCCCAGGGAGGCCCCGGGAGGTGGGTACTGCCCTCCCCACTTTATAGGCAACAGACTAAGGTTCACAGGAGTTTTGTGACTTCCTTCCATCCCCGGGGCCACAGCTTGGCCTTGAATCCTGGGCCTCATGTTATTCTGCAGTGTGCTTGTTTCCTCTGTCCCCCTCTAGGATAGCCTTGGCTGGTACCAACCTCTGCCATTCTCTGTCCCCATGCTGCCAGTGGCCACAAGGTGCCGGGGACCAGCTGGGCTTTGACAGCAGGATCAAAACACCTTTGCCCAAGGAAACAGAGACCACATTGGTTGGGGGATACCAGGTACCAGGAATGATGCCAGAAGACTCTGTTCTAGGGGCCTTTCTGACCTTCACAAGATGAGGTTCAGAGCAGAGAAGGAACTCATTAAAGGACTAGGATGGGGCAGGTGGGGTCTCAAACCTGGGACACCAGTGTTCCTGCCAGCTTGGTTCCCTGAGGGGAGGGTGGCACAGGGCGGTGACACTCTGTGGGAGAACTATCCAGTTTTTTATCATTCTCCATTCTTTTTTTTAGTACAAATTCTAAAATTCCCTGACCTCTCTGTGTACCTGACCACTGAAAATTGGAAAGCCTCTGGAAATTCATTTCTTGTTCTCTGTGGAATCCGCCAGAGGCTTTGCAAATGTTGTCTAGGTTCTTGGTTGTTCCGGAGTTGCCCTTGAAAGAGGCCACATGATTGGACAAGAAGAGCCCCAGGCTAATTCCTGAGGGAGCTCCGGCGTTGCCTGGCCCTACAGCCTTACGCCAGTGAGTTCACCTCTCTGACTTTCACTCACTTCTGCTGTAAGAGAGGGACAATAATGGTCTCTATTTCATAAGCTCATTATGAAGATCCGATTAGATAAGGCATATCATTCAGTTAGGGTGAAGCTGGGCACCATTAAGGGCAGCATCAACATACACCCACCATTCTGGTCGAAATGAGGTCACTAGCATCTGAAACCTCCTTGGTGGAGGTTTCTGTCCTGGTGAAGGGTCTAGGAACTACTTAGAATGCGAGTGGAGGAGTGGGTGGGAAGGGAATGTTCTTTTCATACCTGACTGGCAGCCATCTCAAGTGGTGCATGGCCCAGGCGAGCTCAGGAGATGCTAACAGTCCTCTGCTTGCTCATCCAGGGAAACAGGGTGTCCTTCAGGCCCAAGTGGCCTGGATTAAAGCACAGGTCCATGTACACCTTCTCCCCTACCCCCAGCACCCGGAGTTGCCTGGCAAGTACCTTGTAAGACAAAACAAAAAAGGCACCCAGACTTAAGGAAGAGCAATTTACATCAGTGTACTTAGATTTCTCTTTGTGTGAATCCACAGAGGGCATGGCCCGTGTCTGCGGTCCTGGGGCTGCTGGCGCCCTCAGCTCCTGGGGCTTTTAGGGTTTTTATGAATAATGCAATCTGGCTGGATCCACTTGGGGAAAAAGCGCTCAAAGAAGCAGCCAGGCTGTGAAGTTCAGCAGTCCACACCACGGAGCTAGGTTCAGCCGCTGCTCCGGGCAGAGTTCCCTTGTCCCTCGCAGCAGCAAAGGCACCATCACCAAGCGCTGTGCCCAGCATGTAGCTTAAACTTCCCAGGAGAAAGGGGGAGGGACGGGGACATCACCCCAAGGGGAGGACAATGCATGGTGAGCCCTGCTGAAGTTTCAAGTCTGTTCTTAATTATGAGGCCTTTGGAAAGAAATATTTTGTCATCTCCCACCCTCTGCTCGCCTGTACTCCCATAGCTAGCCCTGACTGATCCCTGGCTGAGCTGGCACCCATGGGAGGTCATTCCCTCCAGCAGATGCCTTTCTTATTTGAGAAAGTAGGGATGGTCCCCAAGAGAAGACACCGGGCCCTTTCCCATGACGGTGGCTGTCAGGGTGAGGCAAAAAGGTAGGGTTATGTGTGAGGACCGTTGCATTTACGAGGCTTCTTATCTTTATGACAGAAGTTCAAATGGGGCATGGGATACAATAACAAAGACAGCACCATCCATAAAGGCTTGGTTCTATGGTGTGGCGCTGAGGCACCAGAAGGGGATGGACCCACTGCGCTGGGGGGAGGGGCTCAGTCCTGTAACTCTGAAGTTCCTCATGGTACAGAACTGGGAATCCCAGAATAGATGCTGGGAGCAATTCCCAGATCCACCCTTTTTCCTCTCCCCTCCGCAACTCTGCCTGCTAAATATGGGCACCTCCGCAGCATCAAAGTAACATCCCTCTACACAACCCCTCTCCCTCCCACGCTGGGATTGATCCAGGGGAGACCCCAACAATAGGACCCGTGGTGAGGTTGGAATGGGCAGTCTGAGCAATGTCAGAGAAAGCATAGGAGCATGCTTCCCAGGAGGGAAAAGCTGTAACAGCTAAAATATACACAAACTTCCCCCAACGCGAAGCACCACATTAACCCAAATCAAGAAGATAAAACCAGCCACACCAACTGTAAAGGAAGAATCAGTTCTATGTGTTCGGCAAGGTCAGTATTACAATAACTTTCAAGTTATATACAGAAAAACCAGGGGCATCACAGCAAGGGGAACGGGAAGCCCCCTTGCAGCATTCAAGTCATTTGTGCCTCCTCCCCACGCCCTTCACAACTGGCTGTGCCATAGCAAGGGCAGGTGCCAGCCCACTGCCCAAGCGCAGAGTTCTTGACCCAAGACAGCCATTCCAGCTCTGGCATGCAAGTCCAGCTGGCATGGAGTCTCAGAGGAGCCAGGCTGAGTTCACTGCCCCTTACCCTGTGGGTTGTGAAAGTCAGGGGCCCAAGAAGCAGAGAGGCTGCGGGGCTGCAGGGTCCTGGGGCTCTCAGGAGATGGAAGCGATCTGGCTGTGTTTCTGTTCTCTGCAGAAGTGAGTCCTGGGGCAGGGCCAGGAGCTGCCCTGGTTGTGCGAATAACAGCACAACAACACAGATATCAGCAAGGCCAGAGTGATAATGGTGGCCAGCACCCACCGGATGACGCCCGGGTAGATGAAAGGCAAGATGAGGATGATGAGTAGGACCAGCAGGAGCAGGTGCACGGCCAGGCGCCGCGCTGCCACCTGGTTGGTTGTCACTGCGTCCTGCTCATCTTCACCAGCCAAGCTGGGGTGCCCCACTGTTGAAGTGGCAGAACTCTCGAGCCCCTGGGGACAGAGCTGAACCTCCAGGCACAGTCCAGCCAGCCGTCCCATCACCGCTTCCTGATCACGCAGGCTGCAGATGAGGCCCCCGGGGACCACGGTGACCTTACGGCACAGCGGGCAGGTGATAGACCAGGTGTCTTCCTGCACACACAGTAGGAGCTTCAGGCAGACAGCGCAGAAGCTGTGCTGGCAGCTTAGCAGCTTGGGTGACCTGGCGTGGTTGTAGGGCTCCCGGCATACCAGGCACTCCAGGTCGCCCTCTGTGGAGGCTTGGTCATGAGCAGCGGGTCCCACAGCGATGGTGGTGGCTTCTGCTGTGATAAGCTGGGGCCGCGGTGGGGCTTCAGTGCAGGACATTCGGGGCACAGAGCCGGTGAGACAGAGCCGCTCAGAGCCTGGACATGGACGGGGAGGGTCAGCCATCGCCTCCAGGACTTGGGTGGATTCTGACCCTGTGCTGGACGCTTCGAGCCTCCTTTTTGTGCTCCCCGAGTGCCTCTTGTCAACAGCTGTCAGGCACCACTCTCTCCCAGGGCTGACCAGCTTCTTTCTTGGTTTATGTTTGTCCCTTCACTTATTATTATTGCTTTACTCGAAACCCAAGGTTAATCAGTAACTGAAGGGCCTGGAGACTTTGAATTGCCTGACAGCAGGGCCAAAGGGGGAGGGGCCTAATGAATCAGGACTTTCCCGTCTGAGTCAGCTCCCCAGAGAGTGCTTATACGAGTTTTGGGAGCTCCCTTTGCACCTCCTTTCTGCCTTGTAAAATGCAATTTCTAACCCAGAGACTGGAATCTAGCAGGTCTGGATGGGTTCTAAATATCTGTACAGTTAACAAACATTCTTAAGATTCTGATGTAGGTGGAACAGAGGACTCTACTTTGAGAAATGCCTCCACAGACAGGGCTCAGACAAAGCCTTCTGGGTATCAGGATCAGCCAGGAACAGTTTTCTTGTGTTCAGAGCGCACTGACAAGCAGGTGGTCCTGTGGAAGACAGAAATGGTGAGAAGTGCTCAGAGTAGATGGTGAGAAAGGCGGGTTAAATAGAGAAACAAAAACAAAAGCTACCCCAGGCCCTTAGCACTTGCTGCCTTGTTCAGACCCTTGTGGTCACAACAGTGGTATTAAGTTATCGATCCATGGATGTCTCGCTGGGATCCTGCCACACTCAAGTTCCTGATAACACTTCCATTTTTCCGTGCCCTTGGCATTCAGCTCTGTTCCCATCATTATGAGAACAGTTGCTACTTATTTGGGTCCACTCCAAGCAAACCCCATTCTTGGGTCCTTATCTGTGATCTCCTGGAACCCTGGCCCCATAAGCAAGGCCTGGAAGCATAAGCAAGGTGTGGTCAGGGCAGGCCTGCTGGCTGCCTGCCAAGGGGCCTGCCACGAGGGGCAAGACCTATAGGTGTCCAAGGTCTGGTTCCCAGTCCCGTGGAACTCAGCTTCCTTAGTTCATGTGGATGCAATTGGCCTCAGGCAACTGGCTGGGGCTACCAAGACTCACATGGGATGGCAGATAGAAGCAGTGCTGCAGTTCGCAAATGTGTGCCCTGAATAGTATGAGGGTGTGGTGGCATGTCCACTCCCTCAAAAATGCCTTAGAAAGGCCTCATCAAATGTGCTGAGGGGTCCCCTGCTGTTTGTGTCCCCTGTTGAGAATCACACAATGCACCAAAAGGGCCAGGTACTGCTAACCAGGCAGAGGTGCTCTCTCTTGTAGAGTAATTCTGGTCTTACCTCTCCGCCTGGGCCTCTGCCCTGGAAATCCAGTCCTCTCACCATCTCATCCTATTTCTTCTCAACCTGTAGCTGGGCAATCAGTTATGTCTTTCACCTTTCCCCCCAGATCTAGCTGAAGGGACTTTTGTTCTAGTACTGGGCATTGGTGAGCAGCATGTACTTCCCCTTTGTGGGTAAGATTGACCGGTTTTCACTTTGAGCAACCATTGCGCCCCTGTTGGGGTTGATCTTTCACTCCGGATATCCTCGGGTGGGGGCTAACATAATGTTATTCAGGACTGACCAATCAGCATATTCCATCCTGCTGGTGGCAGGGATTGGTTTGGCCATAGGCACCTGGTCTAAGCCCAGCCAATGAGCTTCATTTCTGAGATTTCTGTTACGACTCTTGAGAAAAAGTGTTTCTGCTAGGTTTTTCAAGACTGAGGGTGGAGCTCAGGAGTTGCCAGGACCACAGTGTGCAGAGAATATGCCCAAGAGTAAGTTCAAGGTAAAGGAAGAAGGATAAAAGAGACAAAGTTTTACTGACATTATTTGCACACCTAAATCTACCCTTGCCTGAAGCCAGATTTTTTTTGATTTTTCAGTTATAGTAACCCATAAAAAATGTCTGTGTTTGTTTGTTTGCTGTTTTTTTTTTGGTACCAGAAACTGAACTCAGGACCTCATGCTTACCAGGCAGGCGCTCGTGCCACTGAACTATATCCCCGGCCCAGTGTGTTTGTTTGTTTGTATGTCTGTCTGTCTGTATTTATTTTGTGGTGCTGGGGCTTTGGCTTTGTGCGTGCGAGGCAAGTACCCACCATCTGAGCTCCATTTCTAGCCCAAAGTTTTATTCTTGAGTTTAATTTGAATTTTGCATGAAAGACTTTCTACTAACCCAGAAATGGATGGAGAAAACAAGCCTTTACTTGCTGCTGTCTTACCGGGTCAAACACTGATAAGACGATCAGACTTTGTACACAGCCAGCAGTGACCTCAGGTCTGTGTGTTACTATGCTAAGACACTGTTTATGGTCCCCTGCTTTAAATGGCTCTATGTATTATTGCTCCTTTCTGTTTTCTAGACCTCAGAAAGGATTGGGGTTAGGAGGAGAAAAACCATGTCTAGCCACATTTATTTATAATAAAATATCAAAAATCAGGTGGACAAGAGAGTAAAGTCCTGTGGCCTGTACCTCCTCCATCTACTCGCTGGCTCAGCGGAGATCCAAAGGTAGTTGGGGGAGATTGAAATCAGACCAAGGGAAGTTATTTGGAATTAAAGTCTAAAGAACGATCTTTTGGTGATGTTGGGTAACCACCAGTAAGAAAGCATACTGGTTGTAATAACCCAGAGACAACAGAAATACACGGAAAGTAGAATGTGAATGCTCCTTTTACTACTAGTTCTGAGAAAATGACCGTTGTTCACAGTGGGTTCCTTCAGGTTGTCCTCATCCTGTCATCTTGGCTTGAGGACAACTTTGTTTCTTAAAGGTACCATGCCTTAATTATCATCTGTACCAACTTAATAGTTGGAAATCCGGCTCCTATCACTTTGGTAGCTGTGTGAGCGTGAGTAAGAATTTCAACTTCACTGACGCTCAGTTATAAATTTAATAAAATGGGGACAATAACACTTGAAGAAACTATGGAAGATTACTTAAGCACTGGCCCCCCTTGGGAGCCTGCACAGCAGGGAAGGCTCGGTAATTTATGCACCTTGGGCTGTAATTGACCCGAGCGTAATTGATCTGTTCTGGGGATGCGATAAGACACTTTGGCAGCCTGTTTGCACAATGTTTCTTAAAGAGAAGTGGCTGTGGGAAGGGTTGGGGCATAGCTTGAAGCAAACTTACCCCAAGGGGGGTGCAAAATGTCTCTGGAAACTGAAAATGTCACACTGGTCTAAGTTTCACTTTCAATTCCATGTTATGTTTGTGTTTGCTGTAATCTTAAAAGTCCTGAAACCTAAATGAATCCTTCCAAATCCCCAAAGAAAACATATTTGGGCTTGTTTTAATTGTTGTACAACTATAAACTCGTTAATTTGGAATAAGACTATTTTTCTTCCCTTTGAAATGCAGCTTCTTTCATCTAAAGTCTTCTCACACCCCAGGATGTGTGTGCGTGTGCCTGTGTGTGCGTGTATGCATGTGTGTGTGTATTATATGACTCAAGGCTGAGACACACAACCTGGAGTGGAGGTGGGATCTCACACAGCTGCAATTTGGGGTAGCTGGAGCCAGAAGTTAGGAGGCGTCACCCTAGAAATCACATAGAATAGGTAACCACACACTTGCACCCTGATGAAGATATTTCTGATCTGAGTTTTGATCCTACATCAAGTTTATCAGGGAAAGAATCAGGGAGCTGCAATATCATGAAATCAAATGGCCCGACCCATTCCTGGTCTCTGCCTATGGCCAGCTCATTCTCATGCAACAGCAGCAGCAGCAGCAGCAGCAGCAGCAAAGAGCCAAGTCCCAACCAGCTGCCCTGTTGCTCCATATTCCTCTCTTCACCTTGGGCTGCTGTAAGGGACATATTCTACATATTCTTGTCCCCGAATTCCTCTGTGCCCCTTAGAACTCAGCTGCAGTTCTTCAAAACAAAACAAAACATAACCCCACCTCCTTAATCTTGTTGAGTCCTGATTTCATCTCTAATTTATTTGCCTGTTGAATCCCTGACCTTTGGTAGAGCTGGGGATTGAACTCACAGCCTTGCACATACTAAGCACATGCTCTACAACTGAGGTACATCCCCAGTGTTGGAACCTTTTTCTTATGCAACACTTAGTAATGCTAATGAAACACGGTAGGAGAAATGTTGTTGGATGAAACTATACCACTATGAAGTTGCATTTTACAAATACAGGGATACTCTATGGACATATGATCCATGTCATCCATATGATAATACTCAGCATCACCTGCATACAGCATCTGAAATTTTCTTCTAAGGGCCAATGGCTAGAAAAAAAACTTTTGGATCCCTCAGATGGCAGGAATGTCTGTCCACATTACTCAGATATTACGAAATGGATTTACCAAATTTTCTGAAGTACAAAATTGATTCTGCTTCCCATTTTGCTTTGGTCACCAGGAAGCTCCACCAGAACAACAGTGAACTACCACATCTGGCACGTGGTGAACACCTCATCCCCACCCTTAGTCATATTTCCTATTCTAGTTTATGATTTACCTGGTCCTGACGTCTAGTGTTATTTCATTTGTATATATTTCCTATAAACATTCCAATTATGGAAAGAGGAGGGTAGTAAAAAGAGAAGAAAAGTAGAGGACAAATTGGCAAATACAGGTAGGACAAATGGCAGAGATGGTGGGGAGAATGTGGGTGTTTAACTTGGCATCTTCTGGCTTTCTCAGGATTAACCCCTAAGGTTTTACTTCTTTGCACTCATGTTATCCTGGATCCTGAAGGCTTGAAACAACATGCATCTGGCTGAAAACATTTCTCCACCGTCCCCTGCTTGCCATATTCCAGGAAGTGCAGACTTGGGATCTGGACCACTGGACCGTGTGCAAAAGAATCCTCACAAGCATGGTCTTTGATCCGTTCAACAGGGGATCAGACCAAGGTCAGGAGGCTACCAAGCTAGTCCCTCTTTTTCCCCCAGATCCAGTCCTTGCCTTTGTGGAGCCCCCTGAAAGAAGACATTCCACTGGCAGGAATCAAGAGTCCCAAGCACATAAGCTTTGAGTGGAGAGTGGGAAGGCTTTTTTTGAATAGACTGGCAGGTCAAACAGAACTATATCCAAGTCTTATCTGGGTATCTTGAGCAACCACCTTCAACCTCTCTGATCTTCAGTTTTCTCATCTCTCTAAACGGAGATCAAAATAGCGTTTGGGTCACAAATTCTGGTTGTAAGGTTTGAAAACTTCAACTCAACCTGGTGCATTACACAAAGAAAGAGTGTTCCTTGGCTCATGTGACAGGGAAGTCCAGAGGTGGCCTGACTTTTGGTGAGTTTGGGCCACGTGATTCTCGCTGGAGCTAAGGTGAGACGAGTGCATTCATGGGTTAGTCATTTACTCTTTACAGCGCACCTACGAAGTAAACATCATTTCTGCTTTGCAAGTAAGAAAACCAGGTCACAAAGAGACTAAATTGGATTACATGGTTACACAGGGTATCTGGGACGCAGTCCAGGGGTTCCGGTTGCTGAGCTGGCACTCCAACCACAGTGCCACACTGTCTCCTCTAAGTGGCGGCCCTACCCTATTCCTTC